TAAAAGGACAGACGAGATGAGGAGGGAACTGTCTGCAGTCAACAGGTGATGGAGGAAAACTGCACACCTGGGAAATGGGGAAAAGGCTAACAAAAGAGGGGCTGGCAGCAGGAGGCCTGGTACATAGGACAGACAGGAATGACAGGATTCACCTCTGTTATGGAATGAATGTGTCTTCCCAGCTTCATATGTTGAAGTCTTAACTTACCCCCAGTGTGATGGTCTTTGGAGGTGGGGGCTTTGGAAGGTAATTAGGTCATGAGGGTGGAGCCCTTGTGTATGGGATTAGTGCCCTTATAAGAGATTCAACAGAGCTCTCTCTATTCCTCTCTCTCTCTCACCAATGTGAGGACATAGCAAGAAGGTGGCCTCCTACAAGACAGGAAGAGAGCTCTTACAGAACCCGACCATGATCAAGAGCACCTTGGTCTTGGACTTCCCAGCCCCTGGGACTGTGAGAAAAATAAATGTCTGCTGTTAGAACCACCCAGCTGGTGCTATTTGGTTATGGCAGCCTCCCAGTAGGACAGTCTCTTACTTCTGACATCTAGAAAATAGAAGCCTCATCTGTGTCCCCTTGCTGTGTATCCACTGAACAAAATCTTTGTAAATTTTTTTTTACTGTGGAAATCTACTCTAGTCCTGGCACTGGGCTAAGGGATGGATGCTGGGGTGTGATCTAGAAAGCCCTACAGTGACAGGCATTTCAACCTCATATCTAAGTAGGTCTGTGGCAGACAGAACAAGTGGGGGCAGAAAGGAAACCAAGGTGGCATGCCAGGCACTCAGTGTGGAGATGGTGTGGAAACATGCTGAAGCTGAGCTCTACCTTCCTTGCACCCGACTACGAGGGGCGGGGTTGAATAGTGGTTAGGGACACAAACTACAACCAGACTGCCTGGGTGCTAAGCCTAGCCAATGACACTTACTAATTGAGCAGTTCTGGCTAGGAACTTGATCTCTCTGTGCCTCAGTTTTCTCATCTGTAAAATGGGGGTAATTATAGCACCTACTTCACAGGATTGATGTAAAGATTGGAATACAGGAGCACCTCACATGTAGCAGGCGCTGCCCAGGCCAGCCATTATCATCAGCTCAGATTTGGTAATACTGTTCCTCTTTAGAATTATTATCCTTAAAAAAAACATTTCAGAAACATCTCTGGTCAACATGGAATTTGTGAAAATAATGCTAAGCAGAGACTCATCAGATTTTCTGGAATAACTAGACTTTTAAAATAATTTATCTGAAAATAAAGTTTAACAGGATAAAATTCTTAACATAAATCCTAATTATGTGCTCGTTGGAGCCATAATGTTTTCTGTTTTGCTATCACATACCATAACCAATCTTTAAACTTGTTCTAGAAACATCTCAGACCTCAGAGAAAGGGTTAGCAGGCGTGAAAACAGAAAGTGTGGAGAGAGGCCAACTTGTTTTTAAGGGATTTGGGGCTAGTGCCCCAGTTCCAAACGCTGGGCATAACCTGGAAACAGGAGAATTTCTTCAGAGAAGAGTCTCTTGTCCTCGGCCTCTCAGAGCTTAGCCAAGGGGCCCATTTAGAAGCTGCAGCTCCATGTGAGCCCCTTGAGGAACCCTGGGAGAGGCTGCAAAGACAAAGTGTTTTTTAAAACGGGGAAGAATGAAGAGAGTATCAAATTCATGCACACACATAAAAAAAATAGAAGAGATGAGATTAGGGGGGGGGAGGTAAGGAATGGAAAGAAAGAAGGAAAAGAGAAAAAAAAAACATGCAGGCTTAGAAAATGCAAGAAAGGGAGACAGAATTAAGTTATTCGGCATTCCTTTTTTTATAACTTGACATGAAATGTAGGAGGTTCTCATCAATAGGACATGGGGTGTGTGCTTGTGGCTCCAGCCTTCCTTTGTGCTCCCCTTCCCCTTTCTCCATCTTCCTCTGGAAGGAAGGGTCTCCCCCTTCCCCACATTTCTCTCCATTAATGTCTGTGCCATCAGCATCTCCAAGCATAACTGGATGCAGTGAGCAGATTTGGGCTAGTGCTAGAGGGACCAGGACTCTCTGGACAAAGTCCCCTCAGAGCAGAGGGAGAATGGGGTGCAGCTGAGGTGCTAGTCTATGTCCCTTCCTAAGTCAAGGTGTGTGCACCCCAAATCCCCTGCTCTACTTCCCCCAACCAACAAATGCTGTCACAAGTTTAGCGATGTCTAAACAATGCTTGCAAAAAAGTGTGAAACACTGTTAATAAGATTAAAAATAGCCATGCAACCCTTATAAGAGAAAATAATCTGATTAACAAGCGTCAATTTTAGATTTTAAAATTGATACATTTTAGGGAATGCAGTATCATTACATTAAGAGAGAGTCTGATTTGATAAATTGGATTTAATTAGTGCATAGTTAAACCCTTTCGTATAACCTCTTTTGAGCTTTAGAATCTACTTGAATTCTATTGATAATTCTCTTCTTCAATAAATGAAAATAAATGGCACACATACTAATAATAATAGAAAGGTTTCTTTTATTTGTAATCATTATATCACTATATTTTTATTGTATCATTGATTTTACCAAAACCTATTTCAAAAAATCCTTCGTTGCCATTTTAAAAGTGTGGGTCTGAAGGACTATGCACTAATACTATCTTGCATATTCATAATGCTTGGCACTACCCAAATGCTTTCATTACATAATTTTGATTCTTCTAACAATCTTTCCTTACTATATAGATAAGGAAACAGGGGATCACAGAGGCTGACAGTTCAAGGTCACATAAATAGTAAATTTTAAAGCTTGAAACCAAAATCTGGGCCTCTATCATCTCACCCACTGGTATTTTCAATCTATCACGTTGTAAATTGGATTCCTACATTGGGTAGAATAGAGTAGGTGATATGTGAAGACTCTTTTATATAACAAATCAATTTTATAAGGTACTCATTCAAAATTTGCAATGTTCTCAATGATTTCCATGCACTTATATTCTTATCTGTGTATTATGCTAAAGAAATTTAGGTAACCTGTTAAAGATGGGAATGAAATGTCAGAATGCACCCCTGCTGGGCTTTTCAAAGAAGCTCAACAGTTCAACTTAAATAAGACTTGCATTTTAAAAATGCTACTATAGAAAGCCATACCAAAGTTAAGTTCTTCATCCACTTTTTAAGATCTACCTTTAATCTGAGGGGGAGGGAAAAAATGAGAATATATTGATGTAACAACCCCCCAAAAAATCAATTTAGAAGTCATGTCTTTGTCTACTAGCAACTGTCATTCATTTGTACCCTAAACTGGGCAGAGCACCCCGAACTCAGCCCAGTCTTGCTGCCATAAGAATCATCCTTTAGTCTGAGCACACCTTTCTCCCCATTTGGGTGGACTAAGTAGCCAGGTCAGCATTTGAAGTCTTATGTAATATCTGTCTTGGCGAAGGAAGTTCGTTAAAAAAAATAATAATAATAACCTTATCAAAAAGAATGACATCATCTTACCATTTACAACAACATAGTTGGACCTGGAGAGTATTATGCTACGTGAAATAAATCAGTCAGAGAAAGACAAATGCCCTATGATTTCACTTATATGTGGAATCAAATAACAATATAAACAAATAAAACAGAAACAGACTCATAGATGCAGAGAACAGACAAGTAGTTGCCAGAGGGGAGAAGGTTTTGGAAACTGGGTGAAAAGGTGAAAATATTAAAAAGTAGTAACGTAAATGGTAATTAAAAAATAGTAACGGGGATATAAAGTAAAAGATAGAGAATATAGTCAATTGCAATAACTATGTATGGTGCCAGATGGGTACTGGAAATATTGGGGAAACACTTTGTAAAGTATATGATTGTCTAACCACTATGTTGTATACCTGAATTTAATACAAAATAATATTAACTATAAAGTGTAATTGAAAATAAAATATATATAATAAAAAAAGAATAACCTTATAACTTAACTGAAACACACAGACTCAGACTTTTTAATATGTGGTATAGACCCAACTGAAAAAAAGAAATATAGCATACGAGCAATTGAGAATTTGTCTATTATGATTATAATTGCAATGCATAATCTGCCCAGTCTCCATCTGCAAGTTGTGAATGCATACCACAGCCTTGTGCAGCAACTATGAAAATGAATTATGGGAAAAGTTTCTAGAAGTATAAATTTGGATTTCAATATATTCTTGAGTTGACAGGATGGATTTATCAAACTGGTGGAACCATAATCACTTTTGATTTGGTGGCCACAGAATATATGCATATCATAAATCAAAGTTAGGTGATTCAAAGTTAGGTGCCTAGTAAACATTTGTTGAATGAATGAATTTTGCAAAGATATTTAGAAATTCAAACATGACCAGATGAACCCAAGTCCTGCTCCAATAGCTCAACCAGTGCTCTGTGGAGATCTCAAATCATCCAATCATGTGACATTACTCTCTGGTTAGTCACATGAGCCTCTGGTCCCACTGGAATAGTGCAGAAGCAAATGAGAAATGGAGGAGCAGGAAACCCTAGCTTTCTGCTCATGAAACGGGAAAACAATTGGTTATTCCTAATTTTCAAAGCACTTTGCATGTTAACTCATTCCATATGCAAACAACTTAAATCATTAGAGGGCATGTGGTGAGCAGGGCCTAGTTATAAAAGGAGGTCACATAAAAAATTAAAAAGCACTAAAGAATAAATAGTCCACGATGTCCAGGGGGAAGAACTATGCAACCCCAGTAAAAATTAAAACCAAATTGCATACACTAATCAACATTGCAAAACATGTTCAACTCATTTCCATACAATGCAATTATCCTGATAGGTGCAAGGTTAGTGTGTCTATGACCACGACCATGGCTGAAAACAAGCAACCGCTTACAGCACCATTAGACTTTGAACAAATAAAAGCAATACAGACCTATGCATGGCTAGCATTCAGGCCCCCTCAGATGAACAAGATAGAATGCTCCCTTTCTGGAACATTGTATTTGATCTTGTATCTTAGAAAACCACAGTGTTTTATACTATATAAAGAATTCGTCTTCTCCTTTTTCTTCACCCTGAACTGGCAGATGAAGACATTTTGAGATTATCTTCCTTGCATCAAGGTCCCTTTTGCCAGCAAGTGACAAAGGATGGATGCTTTCCTTCAAGTTTTTGTTGTTTTTGGAGGCTGCTGCCCCTAAGGTGGAGGCTGGTGGTGGCTGGCTGGTCTGCAGATCCCTCGGAAACCTGCTCAGAAACGATTGACTGAATTCAGAGTTGACCACGGTGCGCCCTGTGTCCACATTGGTCTCTGCCTCCAGCTTCTCAAAGCCATTTTCCTGACCAAAGACCTTCATTCTGGCCCTGGGTTCGAGGTGGGAAGAACACAGAGGCATTTGGGCATCTGTAGCTGGGCTGCTGACCTGGGATGAGCAGCCAGGTTTTCGCCACAAGGTGCCATGAGAGCTGTTGGACGCTGGGCTCCCACTGGACTTGGGGAATTCCAGAGAAGCGGCTTTGTACCGCCTGCCCCTGCTCCTTCGCTTTCGCAGCTCCAGGGTCCACCTTGTGGAGACAGGGGCCGCCCTGGGTCCCTGGGGAAGCACATCAGCCCCGGGGTTGCCATTCAGAAAGGAAAGCTCACTGTTCCTCACACCAAGTCCTGGAGTCGATTGGATCTAAGGGACAGAGTAAAGATGAACGAATGTAACCCATGTTATCCAGTCACGACATGCTAAGAACAGACTGTTCTAGTCGCCCTCTGCCAGGCCATGCCCATAACCGTCATTCAACAAGTTGGTTGAATTGAATAGAAGCAATAAACACAATCCTTCAAAATGTTATGTGTTTCCAGTACTTGGCACAGTGCCTACCACATGGTAAACAACCACGAGATAGCTGTTGGATAAATAAATAAAGCTGAATCCCCCTCAAAGTGTAAAATTTTGCACATAGAAATGTGGAACTATAAATTAGGCCCCTACTTATTTGATATTAGGTATTTATAAAGTCTTATTGAGAAAATTAAAAGTGATTTCATCACATGGCCAGCCATTTCTGCAATCTTTTTTAAGAGAGGAAAGGTCAACTTTCCTTTTTAAAAGAAAATTCTAAACTCCTTAGACCATATGTAAAAAGTGAGTGCAATATTATTAATACAAAAATGCAGATGTGTGCAGTTGGAATGAGGCATTTTTAGAAGAAACAATGCTGAGTGGTGAAGATACATCCCTCGAGGGAGAATAAAGCTCCTTCTGCCAAAATAAACAAGCTGAAATGCATCTGTAAAAATTCTGACCATTCAGACCCCGTCTTTCTAAGAAATGCTTGTAAAATGTTACAAATTGAGAGCTAGCTTTTTCCAGGTTTCAGGAAACAGTAGCAACTATCTCTGATGAACAGGAAGATCGCTTGTCACTCAGCTGATTCTAAACACTTCAGAAACAAGATATGAAACAAGAAAACACACATCGCTGAAAAATGATTAAGCTTTTAAGGGTAGACTGACATCATCCAGGGAAAATAATATTGTCTTTTACTGAATGTGGTTCCAAGAGATAGCAAAAAGGACTTCTCCAAACGGGGAAGGGGATGGGGGGGGAGGGAGTGGCAAGGAAATGAGTCACAGAGATAGTAAGCAGCCCCCACACGGTGCCAGGCTTGCTTACTTAAGAACTGAAACCAGTTTCTTTCAATTAACTGATTATTTTAACTGATTAACCCAAACCCTGCTATCCTATAGCAGCAGCCTTCTGACAAATGTCCACACGTGTTCTTCCAAGGCAGCATATTGAGAGTGAGAGCGTGGGAATGGGTGTGTGTGTGTGTGTGTGTGTGTGTGTGTGTGTAGTGGTGTGGTGCAGATACGGACAGGGATGGAGAATGGGAAGAAAATGAGCAAGACAAAGAGAGGGGAACAGAGTCCAAGTAAACGCAGTTGAGAGACTTAGAAATGAAAAAGCAGACTTCAAGAAATGCTATAGAAGAAGAAAATGAATTGCTTCAGGAAAGACTATGTTCCTTTATTTTAATGGCTAAAAAGAACATAAGGATGAACTTAGCTCCATATCTGCTGATAAAAACGAAAAGAAACACATGCTTGTTTACAGGGATCTAGCTTCTGGGGCATACATAAAGAGACACACTTGTTTCCTGAGACCAAGCTGTCGGTCAGCAAATGGCTCAGAAGCAGCTGTGTCCACAGAGTCTGAACTTCCTTACCTGCCCCACGCGGGGGATTTTACAAGATCAGTGACTCTCAACACCACGACATGCTACAGATTAGAATCATCCAAGGAGTTTTTTTTTTAAAGAAATGCCCAGGCCTGGGTGACCCCGGAGATTCTGATCTTACTGTCCTGGGGATTTTTTAAAGCTCCCCAGGGGTCCTGAGAACCCCCACCTCCAATCATCTCTCAGGCCACCTCGAATGTAAAAATCACACCATTCCATGCGTGTCTACCAGGTCACAGAGGCAAAGCAAGAGGTACCTGGAGCAGAATCTTGTTGCCGTCGTAGTCCTGCGTTTGCCACCTGGTGCGGCTGATGGGGACGCACGGGTGGGGGAGGAGAGGCACTAGCTGGCCAATCTCTTGAACCTTGAACTGCAGCACCGACGACTCTTTGGGGTCCACCGACATCCCAAGGGGCAGCTGCTTCAGGGACAGCTGCAGGGCGAAGCTCTCGGCGGCGTAGAGCACGAAGAGACAGAAGTTGCTCTTCTGCGGGGCGGCCTCCCTCTGCAGGATCATCTCGTAGAGGCCGATGGCGTCCTCGTAGTTGTCGAAGGTGCAGTAGAGCGTCACCCGCAGGACCTCGGGGCCGCCGTGCACCGGCCTCACGCCCCAGACGGGCATGTGGTTGTCCAGAGTGAAGAACTCCTGGCGGGCCAGGCTGTGGGGGCACGGGCTTCCCTGCAGGCTCAGGGCGGGAAGGCTCTGCCAGGGCCACTGCCGCAGGGAGTGGAGGACTCGAAACAGCCGCTCCTCTCCCGGGCTCTGGTGCAGGAAGAGCAGAACGGACATCCCCGGGAACCGGGAGCGCTTGGGGTGGCCCCTGTCATAGCTGCTCACGGGACTGGCCCGCTCCGACACCATAAAGAGACGGGCCTCTGGGCACAGGCAGCCCAGGAGCTGGTCCAGCGCTTGCTGCAGGAGCGCACCCTGCCCGGAGCTGGCCAGCAGGTGGACGGTCATGGCCGGGGGCTCTTGGGTCTTGTCCATCCTGGAGGGTGTGAGGGTGACAGTGTGTGGAGGATGTCCCAGCTTCTGAAATGAACCGAGGGGCGGGCGGTGCTCAGCCCGGGAAGCCTTCAGCGACGTCAGCACAAAGCTCTCTCCCCTGTGGTCCTGGCTGCTGGAGAGAAACTGCACAAATCCGGGCACCACGGCCTCCACCTCCCCCAGCAGCAGGGAGGGGGATGTCGTCCAGCTCCTGCGTCATGCACCCGCCTGTGTGGGGCTTTTGCAGGCACTCCCAGGTTTTCTGTTTGACCTGAAAGCCTGCAGTCCTGAGAAACACCCAGCTGGGTGGTTCTGACAGACACTCAGCAGAGGAAATGGCCGGGCAGAAAGGAACCCGAGTCCCTCTGTTAGGCCGATAGCCATCTGTTTAGTTGAAAAGACATCCATTTTATGGGCCCACAATGGGCTCTGATTTCCTCCTCACAGCTATCTCTCCTGTTTACAGTAGCCTGCCAGGCCACCTGAACACAATGACTGCTTTCAGACAATCCTCCAAGCTTGTCCCCTTGCCAGGATTTCCCCTCTCATTGTGGGGTGTGTGTGTGTGTGTGTGTGTGTGTGTGTGTGTGTGTGTGTGTTTTAACAATTGATGCTAGGGCATTGAGGACAAGTTAAATCTAGCTAAAACCGATTTGGCTCAGTAGTAGAGCGACTTTCTGAAGACTGAAGGGTCCCAGGTTTGATTCCGGTCAAGGGCACGTACCTTGGTTGCGGGCACATCCCCAGTAGGGGGTGTGCAAGAGGCAGCTGATCGATGTTTCTCATCCATGTTTCTGATTCTCTATCCCCTCTCTCTTTCTCTCTGTAAAAAATCAATAAAAATATATTTTTAAAAAGATGTTTTATCTAAATACTTCTGACTGTTCACTCGTTATTTGCTCTCAGCAGTTCTGAGTGTATGCACTTGGTCTCTCTTAGTCACTCCAGTTCCTTAGAAGCAGGGGAGCTTTCCAATGTCAATAATAACCCAGGAATTGTCCATATCTATTGAGGATCTGCAAAGCATCAGTCATAAACTGTCCTAAGACTACATACAACTATTTAACCCTCCAGCAAACCTATGAAGAAGGTACTGTTATCTCTAAGTTACTGATGAAGAACGTGAGACACACAAAAAAGTTAAATAACTTGCCCAAGGTCTCACAGTAAAGCATTGACTGAGAGAAGATTTGAATGGAGGAACTCAGAGGTCCCCTGTGAACCAGAGAGGAGGGCCATCTCTGGACCCTGGAACCTGGCCTGGATTTTCTCCCTGAGGATAAGGAAAGGACAACAGAGCCAGTTCTGGTGGAGGTCAGGCAGATCTCAGATACTCCGTGGCTGTTGAATCTTAAAAATGAATAATCCTCAATAAGAATATCAAGATTGAAACACAACAGCCACCCTAATGTTCTCTCAATTTCCACTTGGAAATCATTTCCTATTCTGAAAGCTGCGCTCTGGGAAGGTAAGGACAAGCACATTTTTCAAAATGTAATTCTTAATATAAGCAATGTATTAAAGCCTAAAAGGGAACATAGAGTGACTTAATGTTTTCTAAATTAAGAAGCACCTTTGTGATGAAAAGTATAACTTTAATTTCGTATATGTGATTTCATTTAATAGTATAATAAACCAAACTTAACATCAAATATTATTGATATGGAAAGGAATTATTTCTGTTCAGATTTCCTTTCTAAATCTAACCTATATTTCTAATTATTTGTTTGTTAGTCCTACCTTTTTGCATAGGAAAAATCATTACAGGTTTTTGTTAAGGCATTACTGTTTTCAAGCGTGTGTGTGTGTGTGTGTGTGTGTTTTACATCTTAATTTATGTTGCATATTGGCATCTGAAGGCAATACCTTTCTCATCCCTCATGGAGATGGCTGTACTTGGGCACCATCAGCTTCAGACATGGCTATGGAAACAGCTTTTACCATTCTGGAAACTACTCTAAAGATTCAAGGAGAAAAATTACACCCCTGAGACAAAGATATTAACTCACACCCTCTGTACAAAGCAAGTGTTTAAGCCCCTCTATTGGAAAAAATTTTACTTCTTGATGTTGTTTTAATCTTCCATCCAGTTTTTCCTCATGAGGTTGTCATTCCTGTTGGGATTAAAAATATTTTATTAATCTGATGGTGGGCAAAGTTCCAAGAAATAGAGAGGGGAGGACAGGGAGACAGGGGGTACCACCAGTCTCCTTTCTGGTTGGCTGACTCTGCGATGATTTCTCCAGGAACAATCTGAGATACTGACCCTTGGAGTAACTGCCTCCTCACCCGCTTCTGCCCACCACATGCCCAGATTCTCGGCTGTGCCTCAGATTCCATGGCAGGAGCTCTTTGGTTTTATAGCCACTTTGTTGATGGCAGGAACATCTGACGGCAAGTTATCATCTTTGACCCCTGGCAGCTGGACAGCTGACACTTGATTTTTCTACCTTCTTTTTTTTAAAACTTGACAATGATGCCCAGGTACCTGTGAGTCGCCAGTGGTTGGTCAACAACTCCTCAGGCAAAGTGGAGGAGCTGGTGACAGATGGCACGTGGAAATCTAAGAAATCAGCTAGTTTTGAGGGTTTGTTGCAACCTGTGGACGTCCATGGAGATTTGTCCCTGCTGCGATCTTCACAAATACAATGGGAGGCATCAGAACCCTGGGTCCCACTGCCACCCCAAGACGACTTTGAGAGTTTCTTTCTCTCTATTAAATGGGCTTATCTGCCTCACATGTTGAGAGCAAAGCACTGGGTCAGAAGCTGAGAATAGATCATCACCAAGTCCCACTTCAGAGGACCACCTGAAATGGTGTCATCAGTGCCATGATAAAGGTCGCTGTAGGATGCCATGAGGGTTCCTAGGAAGAGTCACTGACCTGGGTGAGAGGCCAAGGAAGCCTCCAGAAGAGGAGATGCTATGTGACGTCCTGGAAAGTGAGGAGGAAGGAGGCAGCCAGGTGAGGGGCTTGGGGTGGGGAAGAAGGAGGGGCTCCAGGGAAAGAAACCTGATGGGGGCAAGCCACACCTGAAGAAGAGCGTAGGGCCGGTGACCCCTGGCCAAACTGTATGAACCACAAGATGGCTGCAGGGAGGAGACAAAGAAGAAGGGAGGTGGTAAGATAGATGTAAGAAAGGCAGCCAGGCCTCCCAGGTCACCCTAAAGGGTTGGGATTGTCTTCTAAAGGGAACAGAATCACAGAAGAGCTGACTTAAAAGAGGAGGTAATTCTTTGAGGAAAACACAAACACAGTGATAGAGGGAATGTCAGAGTCGATGGACAGCTTGCTAGCTGGTTGAAGGTGAGCAGAAAGCCACCGTGATGGGCCGGGGAGGCCTTGCCCAGGTGGTAATTACAGGAGTCTGGTGAGGCTGCTGACAGTCACCAAATAGAGAACACTGGAGAAAGAGAGCAGCCGGGAGTGAGGGGTGCAGTTGGGCCATAGAGTACAGATGCCTGTGGGACATCTGACTGGAGATGTCTAGTAGCCACTTAATCTAGAACTTATAGGGAGCATCAGACTGGAGAACTTGGGCTGGGGTTTCACGAGTCTCCAGGTAACCATGGGAATGCATGTGATGAGGCAGGTGGAGACTACATGATGAGGACAGAACAGGTGAGAGGGTGGGACTCTGCAGTGCCCAGTTTAAAGGACAAGTGATGTGTAAGTGGCACCCAGGGAGAATCAGAGTGTGTGCCATCCTGACCCTGTGTTGGTGTTGTGCGGTAGATTATAAGGATTTCAGAAAGTGGTCTTGGCTGAGCAGGCATCTTCACTCTGTTTTAGAACCACGTGTGTGGCTCACTCTACCTCCTCAATGAAGCAAATAGCAGAAGCACCAAAGGAACCTCAGGGCCAATCAAACCTCTGTTTTCCTTTTTCTTGTTTCCAAAGCAACCTTCACTCTGCTTTCTTGACACTCAGTTGCTCACCAGGGGCTAGGTATTATAGAACTTAAGGCCATAACTAGAGAAAAAGTGCTGGGATAGGATCGTTTCATACTTACTTTTCAACTCCTGGTAGCAGCCTACAACCCTGTACCTGCAGAGTAGGCACTAAACAGGCCTGCAGCGAAGAAGGAATCTTGGCATCTCTTATGGGATAAGGATCCCAGGAGGCTAAGGGACTTTCCCAATGTCACAGAGCTGATTACTGGCAGAGCCTGGACTTCTGGTTTTAAATCACGTTTCTCCACCACTCTTCAGAGAAGCAATACACAGCAGCTCTATTCAGGTGAGAGCTGTTCAAGCTCAGGACACACAACCAGCACATAAAAAGGAGAAAGGAAGACGCAGGAGTAGCCATTACACATGCCCTCGACACCTCTGGTTAATGTGTTTCCTCATCCTAGGCATTCCTGCCCCAAAGTCATTCCTGTCCTCAACTTTCACCGTGGCAGCCCTTCTCCCACCACACACACACACACACACACACACACACACACACACACACACACCTATATACCCTTAGCCCTTGGCTTCTCAGGGGAGTTCTGGCAGACACAGCATAGGGAAAACAATGGAAGCTATGGGCTCCTTCCTGCCAGGGCACAGGAGGGAGGAAGTGGCCACTGCAAGCTTCTCCTCCATGCTGCTGTGGCTCTTAGCTGAAAGCTTCTCTCCTGGTCCCCCAGAGGATACCTCCTGCCCTACCCCAAACAATGCTGTCAGGTTCCTATTAACGAGCCATCTGTTTCCCCCTTTTCCAGCACAATGCCGTCCAGGAGCCGCTTGTGAGTGATACCCTGCATTCTCACAGGTGCCCAAAAAGGCCTGTTTCCTCCTGCTCTTTGTGTGGTCTTCTGCTGTGACATCTGTTTCCCAGGCACGGACCAGTCCCAGTTCTCCCCTGCACCACCCCAGTAACTGTGAAAGGAGTTTAGCTTCATCATCTTCACTGAAGATGAAAAGGAGCAATGGTAATAACTGACCTGACTCTCTCCAATGGACCAAATGAGCTAATACTCCAGAAAGTCTTCCACGTTCTCAAGTGC